TTGGCTGCATTTCGTGAACGACGAAGTTGCAGAAGGCTTCGCATTGGACGCACTGAAAAGCTCACATCCGATTGAGGTAAGCTCGGTTGATAAAACAGATTATGCATCTCGCTTTCACTTGTCAATTGAGGTCGGCATCTCAGAGTTGCTGATCATTCGGCAAACGAAAATATTTTTAGGTTGAAATTGATAATCCGAATGAGCTGGATGAAATATACGACAGTATCACGTACGCGAAATCGAACTCAGTGAATCGCATGTTGTGCAATTATCTCGGTGAGGATGTCTTCCAAAAGGGATTGAGAATCTACCTGAATCGATTCAAGTACGGAAATGCCGTAACGGAGGATTTGTGGAATGCGCACAGTGAAGCATCTGGACAGGTCAGTAACATCCGGCATGCTCAATTTTGATCGCTCGTGGTCTATGTTCAATTTTTTTGTGCTGATCGTGGAGATCTGAAGTCTTTTGTTATTGTTTTCACATGTTATTGTGGAGAGGAGGGAATGAAGAGTTTCGTCGTAGATGTTTTTTTTTGATTATATTTATTGAGGAGAAATTGAAAATCTTGTTAGTTTACATTAAGATTCTGAATGATTGAGGACGTGTTTTCTTTTGAGAATTGCTTCACGCCATGAGTTTTGGATTGATTTTTTGCATAATTTTGAAGGATGTGAAAACGTTGATGTCCAGTTGGACGAAACAAATGGGTTTCCCGTTGGTGAGTGTACAGCAAACAGTGGACGGTAATAAACGTGTTCTGAAACTCACTCAAAAGCGATTCATCGCTGACGGAACTGCCGATGAGAATAATTCAGTGTGGCAGGTGAGTAGTCTCATTGGATTGGACCGTTAAGTTTTGAAGCGTTATGTTTGGATGTTTTAATCACTTTATTGGACAGTGGATGTCTGAGAATGCATTTGTATTTTTGTGAACATTCATTGTGTATTCATTGAACAAACAGCGATATCTTGGTCACCTGGCCCAGCGTTTCATTATTCATTGGTGATGTTTGAAGGTGCCAATAACAGCTTCAACAAGCGCAGACCCAAGCGTGATCAAGCACCGAATGCTGATGAAAGAACGCGAGCAAGAGTTCGTCATTGAGGGTGTGAAACCAG